CCGGGCTCATATGTTGGCGGGTCGGCCCGACCCGAACCACCCGGATTGACATCTCTACTCCATGCCACCACAAAATTTTCCGATAACCATTACTATATGTAAAGACAAATAGTCGTGAATTAAGAAAACGCGGACTGACAGTCTGGTGGTGGTTGTGGTACAATTCTAGACATAAAACATAAACCACTCAATGAGCTGTCCCTCTTACATTCCTAAAAACTTCCTTGACATTTTCAAACAGTCGATGAAAACTTCTACTCCTCTCGTGCCCCCGACCCCACTGTTTAGGCTCAAATCAAAGTCAACACATCATGGAATGCACGTATACCCACCCACCATGGTTTAATTTTAACATATATCAGATATCAAGAAAAGAAAATACTATTATCATCTCATGGCCAGCATCCACACCAAATAATGATAGATAAATTATTAGAAAGAATATTGGGTTTAATTCAACCAAACAAAATAGGCTTGTTAGTGGAGGATTGCACTCACCTTATTAAGTGGATTGTGTAAATATCACAAACCAATGTGAGACTCTAATACGTCCCTTCATGCACAGTGTGGAGCATACCAAACAACTGTGAACAAATTGATATTAAGTGCACTCAACATTGCAAAACTGAGTCTGCTCGACACCATATTAGAAAGGATATTGTGTCTAACTCAACCGACTTGTTAAAGGAGGATTGCCCTCACCTTATTAAGTGGATCGTGTAAATATTACCGACCAATGTGGGAATCTAATATAAGCCATCCCACCCATCCCATGAAATTGAAAATTAAGCAAGAGACATACCTATGTTTTACGACCGATTATGTCGTCGTCATATAAATAAATATTCTGTATTATGCTTTTTCGATAAAAGTGAAATCAGTCAATACTTAAACGAGGATCCAATAATTCAAACACTGAACAAATCCCCCATCTATCCCATCAGACAATACTAATCTCCATGAATAATTCCTGATGTACATGAATTATTTTCACAGGGGCTTTACAAGCCCCTCACTTAGCGCGGGTAACCTGGCAGATGCAAGCAGAGTTCAATCTCCATATGCAAGTAGAAACAATTGGTCAGCGTCAACAGCCAAACTACAACTCGCACTTTGAATTTGAATTAACTTTATGCATCCATCAACATTAAGAGTAACCCCAAGAACAGTTCATTAAATTAACATAATAATACACGAATTAAGATATCCAACTGTCAAATGAACAACTTCATCACTCACAGATAGAAAGAACAAGATATTCTCACTTTCCCGTGTAATACTAGATTCAACTTATACAAGGATTCCAGGACGAAATATCAATAACAAAACCAAAATATTCGAATAGTTGAATTTAAGTGTAAGATACAAAAATAAACAAACTCCGCAAAAGATTGTAGATGTAGAGAACAATGGCTTACTACTAACAAATATTAGCGCCCTTTGGGGTTCATTATCTGTGAAAACACAGCACTTGGTGTCAACCCATCCGAGTCTGTACTGGCAAGACTCCGACCGCCAATGCTCATGGACATTCCACTACTTTTTGAATCCATTATGATGCCATCAAATCCCGGGGATGCATCTGGGTCTTTTCCTTTGCATGGGACGTCGAATGACCCCTCTTCAATGTCCATTCCTCCGAGACCTTTGCCACTTTCCTCAGCACTCTCCTGAAGCTGCAGAGCGAACTCAAGATTCCACAGCACATCACCCATGGAAGGCCTGTCGGTTCCGACATCAGAAACGCACTTCACTGCTGCCTCAGCAAATTTCTTAAAGCACTCGGGTGCAATCTTCCCCTTAAGGTATGGATCCATAATCTGATCAAGGATGCCCTTCTTATAACAATGTTGAGCCCACTCGGCCAAGCTAACTTGTTCTTTTGGAAGTGTTGGATTTAAAGCTGGACGAGCACACAAGATCTCAAAAAGTACAACTCCGTATGAGTAGACATCAGATTTTTCGGTCAATTGCTGTCGCCTAAAGTACTCAGGATCTAGATAACCAAAACTACCCTTCACCACTGTGCTGACGTGGGTGTGATCCAGTGAAGGACCTGTTTTTGAAAGTCCAAAATCCGAAACCTTAGCCACCCACTTTTCATCCAAGAGGATATTAGTAGTCTTCACATCACGATGGATAATAGTGTGTTTGGCACCAGTGTGTAAATAGTGCAAACCTCGAGCAGCACCAATGCAAATCTCAAGCCTCTGCTTCCATGGCAATGGAGGCTTTTGGGTCTTGTACAGATGCTCACGAAGAGTTCCATGAGCCATGTAGTCATATACAAGAATCATTTCGCAGTTCTCTTCACAATACCCAATCAGTGACACAAGGTGGCGGTGGCGAAGTTTTGAGAGCATTTCGATCTCAGTTTGGAATTCATGCACTCCCTGTTCAGAGAGTGGGTTCCCACGCTTAATAGCCACTTTTGTGCCACCGTCAATCTCTCCTCGGTAAACTTTACCGAAACCTCCAACCCCTAGGAGGAGAGCCTCATCAAAGTTATTAGTGGCAGTCTTGATCTCAGAAATCGAGAAGTGGCGGCAAAGGTTTGACGGGAGGGAGGAGGCATAGCTTCCTGTGGTGTTCGTTTTCGCAGAACCTGAAGTATGAGAATTTCCATACAAAGATAAAGGAAGCCACCCATCACTGGTACTAGAATCCTTTTTGTGCTTCCGACATCGGGATACAAGACACACAAACAAACCAACAAGAAGAATTGCAGCAATTCCACCACCAACTCCACCTCCAATGGCTATTTGGTTCTTTGATTGCCCCTTTCCAGATGATTGGTTATTTAATGAGTCGTCCTGTGGTTGTTGAACAGGAATTGGATTTGGACCAGCAAGATTGCCTTTAGTATCATTTACTTTGAATATTTCTACCCCATTCAAGATAGCATCATAATATTGGGGCTTTGTGCCAGGGTAAGGATGCAGATCGAGCCAAAGTTCTGGGTTAGCCTGCCCAGAAGGAACAACAACCACATAATTCCTGTAAACCGGAACCCCATTCCTTCCTCCTGCCCAAGCTATTACATCTGCCTCCGGCTCTGCAGTCTTATTATTAAGGAAGATACTGAACACTCTTTGGTTTACTTTTGTAATAACATCTGTTGTCTCACAGAAATGGAGCCTAACCAGGTAAGAGAAACCCGAGTCAATAGGAAAGAGCCAAGTCAAATTGTAGTTCATGTTAACAGATGCATTGGGACCCATAGATCTAAGAGTGCTGTATACATCAATTGGGGCGATATAGTTAGGTGTTCCCAGAGGGTAGCTGACCGTCACATCTGGATCTGTTGTCTCTGTTACACCATTGGCTGCGCTAAATATGTACATTGAATCATCACGCCACGACCTAAAAAGACCTGTATCACTGGATGGTGAAATGTCGTTTCCACCTACATTCAGCCGATAGACATTTTCAAGTGCAGTACTGTTGTCAATGTTGAACCCAGTGGATTGACCAACAACAATTACAGTCCCATCCGTACTGTAAATGTCAGGATGCGAAACAATCTCAATCCCATTCACATATGCATAAGAGTTAGAAATATCCTGGGATGGTGTAAAAGTTAGATTTAACACTTCGGACGGGACATTAACAGAGAACTCTTTCATCAAAAAATCATAGTTCAGAGCTTCAACAGTTTGTGCAGCACTATAGTTTTTCAACAGGGTATATGGCCCAGAATTAACAGTGAAGACGCCATTGAAAGCATCTAGGCCATTATAGGATGCAGGATAGAAGTACAAACGGACATATTTACGGCCAGGCGCAACGGGGAAATTATAGGTATACTCGGATTGGAAAATCCTGGCAGTCATGTAAGGAACATCGGGTACAGATGGTTTCTGGGTAGAAGCAGTGGCCGTCGAAGTGTTTCCGCGAGAAGATGCAAACTTTGATCCAATATCTGATGTCCATTTTCGATTATCAGTATCACTAGAATCAGGGGGACCTCCACAGTTCAATAAAATTTTATCCGTTGGTACATAATCAGCTGCTGATATTAAATCAACCACAACGGTCACTACCAGAAAACTGTTAATTAATAAGAGCCGAGAATTATTGTTGTTCTTCATAGATGTTTGATGAAGCCCAGAAAAGCCACAAAAAATCTGAAAAATTGAAAATAATCAGTTTTCACCGAAAAAAACCAAAAACTTGAGCACATATCTACTCTAGAGACTAAGATTTACAAACAATAAAAGATTAAACTACCTATTTCAAACATATTTCTACCGAATAATTTAAATCGACTGTAATTAAATACCAAGATCTGGAGCATAAAAGAAAGATGAGATTTTATCTACTCTAGAACAGGAAAGCTTAGTAGATCCATTAATACCAAGCTCAAGAAAGCAAAAATCTAAAGAAGAAGGAAATATATATATATTATATAATCAACTGCAGGCTATAGACTAACGGTGAATCAAGAAAAAAAGACAATTACCTAAAAATAAGCACTTGAACTCCAAAAATGAAAAATTTAAGCCATAAGACCGCAATGAATGAGAATCCAAATACTAAGCTTCAATCAGCACAGAAATCCCAAGAATATAGCTCACAGAGACCAAAGTCGGATCAGAAGGAAACTAGTTAGAGAGAGAAATTTGGAAAACATAAACAAAAAAAAGTGGTTAATCTATTCTTTATTAAATGATGACAGGCTGCAAACGCGTAAAACAGAAGATAGGAGGTGCCGGTGCGTTTTTCAATTTCTTTAAATTCTTTTTTAAAAAAAAATTCAACCAATCATCTTTTCAATTAGAGGTGTCAAGACGGATGGGCCGACCAAACCCGTAAAAATCAACCCAGGACCGCAGGCCGACCCTTGACCCGAGCGAACTGTTCACGAGTCAAAGAGGTGTGCCCCGTGGGTTTCGCGGATTGCACCTTCACGGGCCGCGGTTAACCCGCTGGCCCGTGAAAAAAAAAAATTAAAAATTTGAAAAAAAGAGGGGGAGAAGACCCGTTATGCATTAGAAATATTTGATAATAGTAATTATAATTGCATTTAGTTGTTATTTGTTT